CTTTCCCACGCTGCTTACTAGAGTGGTACCCCTTTTCCAAGACAAGGCCAAAAAGACATGACCTTGGAGCAGGAGAAGGTTTAGGGGCTTTCCTGCAGTGCTGCGGTTGGACCTTTGTGCTGATTCAGCTGCAGAGACTATTGGCAGGAGTATGTGTGTTGTTTCTCTTTCAGAAGTGCCTAACTGCCAGTCGTCCTACATGAGAGGGGGCTACTTCTCCAGCAGCCATGAAGGTAAGTAGCTCCTTAAAAAATAATAATATTCAAGGAAGCTTAAAGTTGCACAGTTTCCGGGCTAAGATGTGAGATCGTAGTTTAAACCTTCCTTAGCTTGTGAACACGAGAGTTCACTTATCGTGATCCCCAGCCAGTTATCTCGCACACAGGGTTTGAGGCATGCTCTTGACCTGTGAGGGCTGCCATCCTTTTCCATGGTAATGACCCTAACTTTTAAGAGGAAAACACGAACCATCTGGTTTCCACCCTTCCATACAAGGAGGTTATGTATACATATAGCTGTAGGTAACACTGTCACCTAAACTGGCACTTAGGAACTATGTCACGACTTGAGATGGTACCTTCAAGAGTTCTCTTTTGAACGCTGAAACAGGGAAGGATTTCTCTCTTAGAACACGTTCCCCAGAAGTATGTCCTGTTTTCTGTCCTATACATCTCTCCGTAAATACCTAGAGCAGTGTGATTCCCCAAACCTACAGCATCAGTCAGCTTCACCTGGGACTTGTTAGAAAAGCAGATTCTCAGGGCCCACCCCAGACCTGCTGAATCAGAGTCTCCAGGGGAGGGGCCCAGCACTGTGTTCCAACAAGCCCTCCAGGCAATTGTGATGCACACTAACATGAGAACTACTACTGCATAGTCATGAGGCTCAGCTTTGGCTGCACATTAGAATCCCCTGGGGAACTGTTAAAACTTCTGGTGTCCAGCCTTCACCCAGAACAATTAAATCAGAAATTCTCAGGTAGGACTCAGGTGTTAGTAGTTTGTAAAGCTTCCTGGGTGATTCTCATGTGTCCCAGGGTGACAACCACAGTTCTAGAGTTTTAGAGAAAGGTTGAAAGAGCCGGTAAGATAGCACTGTGGAGCAGTGGCTGGTTATTGTGAGTGATTGGTTCACAAGAGTGGTCTCTATGGGTGGCTGCCTCCCACTGACTTGGTTAGAGGGGAGACCCAGTGTGGCTGCCACGGGCACCCGGGGATATTCCGAGTGTCCAGCCCTGGGAAGGAAGGGCAGTCTCCTGGACCTCTGGCCATGATCGGCACAGCTGTGTGGGGCTCTCTTCCAGGTTCCCGAATGTTTCTATAGCAGCAGTTGATGTCTGCAGCAGGCGAACTAGAAGGGAGTGAGGGAAGAGAGGGAGGAAAACACTTCGCATGATTACAACATTTAGAAAGGAGCATGCTCTTAAAGGAAATATTTTTAGTAAGGCATCGGGCTGCTTACTACACACAGAATATCTGCGAGCTTGTGTTTTTCCCCCACTTCTTCCCTGACCCCATACACATTGAAGAAATTAGTGTCAAAGAGATCTGCATTCTTAATTGCTCTCAATTACCCTGACATGGTTTTTCTCTCCTCCTTATACGGGCTTGACCACAGATGCCCGTGAAATAGTGAGACAAGTGTTTCTGATTGGCATCTGTGATTACTAAGACAGCCATCCTGCCTTAGCATTCACCTGGAATCTTTGCATACTGTTTTGAATCTTTCATTTCCACTTTGTCCCTCAAACAGGTTCTTCCTTCCTGCCACCTTTATTTGAGTGATTAGATGGTTGTGGCCACAACTGATGTAACTGCTGTGCAAATTCAGCTGACTTAAATTTCACTTAAACCAACAGCATCTTCCAGATGTTTTAGAGAACCACACGTGGCAATGACTTGAAACCACAAAGCACACCAAAACAATACTCGTGGGCAGGGCTTCATCTGATTAGTTTGAAAAACCAAACCTAGAATTTAATCTAGATTTACATTTTGTCCCTATATACTGTGAACTGTGAATGTATTTTCTTTACCTTAGAGGAAGAAAAGCTCTAAAAATAAAATGGCAATTTTGACAGGTGTGTAAACTTTGTAGTTTATTTATAATGATAAGGCTGTTAAAACATCACTGGAATAGCAAAATCCATGTGGAAAGTCAGGAAATACATAGCTTCCTGGTAGCCAAGGCAAAAAGCATGAAGCATGATGGATTATGTAATTCTTGTTAATATAAAGTATAATAGTTTGTCATAAGTCAGTTTCCTAGTACCAACTTGGAAAATAAATTTTAGGAGTCCCTGAATCCCGAACTTAAAAGTTAGTATTGCATTCTTAAATCTTTTAATGGAAACTATAGATTCCCTCATATTTATTCAAATATTTATTGAGCACTTATGTACCAGGTGCTATAAGGAGGCTAAGATATTCAGGATATGTCCTTTTACTAAAGGAATTTAGAATCCATGACAGAATATAAGAAAAAGCTCTCACATTATCCAGTTAATCTCTTAATAGCACTTATCACAATGTACAAGTACTTACTGTCTTAATTTCTTATAATTATCATGTATTGCACACTTATGTACCAGGAGCTATTCTTAGCTCTCTGTTGTAAAGATAAATCGGTCAATGGAACAGAATATGTATCGACTCATTAAATTCTCACAAGCCTATAAGGTGGGAATTATTATCTTCCCCAGTCTTCAGATGAGGAAATTAACTTACGAGAAATTAATTAACTTGTTCAAGGTCACACAGTTAACCTAGGTCTATCAGTCTGGCTCCAGGGCCCACACTCTCCACACTACACCATGTCTCTTTCTTCCCTTCTTTGTTGTCTGTCTCCACCAGTTGGGATGCAAGCTCCACGAGAGCAAGCACCGAGTCTGTATTCTTCTATCTACCCCCTTCTAGCACAGTGCCTGGCATAAATATTTATTGGATTAAATACTAAATAAAATATACTTCCTTTGTAGTTAAGCAGAGAAATAATGCTTGGGGCTGAGGAAACAAAAATGAATAATACAGAACCTTAAAACAGTCTGTTTCCTCCAGGTCAGGCAGTGTTTTCCCAACCCCTGGGCTCTTTAAAATTGTGCTGATCCTGCCAAGGAGAACTTGACCCGGGCTGATTGTGAAGAAAAAGAACAGATTCTTTCTTGGCACCTTTACCCAGGGATTTTAAGTCAAGAGCAAATCCCTCTCAAAATCTAATGCTAGCCCTTCACTGCAGAGCAGCCTCCTCTGCCCTCCCCCTACCACGTACCTGACACTCATATGCCTGGACCCCACGCCAGACGAACTGATCAGAGAACCAAGCACAGGGAGTACCACTGAGCAGACAGGAGCTTCCTGGTGCTTCCTCTTGAGAAGTGTGCGAGTAGGGGAGAGTACGCTGGAGCACTCCCCCCCGAAACAGGCTGGACCACAGGCAAGGGTGTGGTCCCATCACACCTGTCTACTAACTGGCTTTGGCTTGAGCCGCTGGCCTTGTCAGGGTGCCTGGTGACCTGGTGGTCAGCGTTAAATGCATATTAAGGGTTGGTGGGTTTAGGATATGCCAGGCCGTCCTCCTTGACCCCTTCCACTTTTTGCCCCGCCTTCCTTTCATTTCCACTTACATGTGTTGTTGGACCAGTCAGTTCCCCTTTGTTTTCTTGTCTATACAGTGAATAAGTTTTATTGACAGAAAGTCTCTTCACATTCCTTCCACAGTGTCTGGAGGTGATAATACCTCCAACTTTTTGAAATTATTGCTTGTCACAATCCTCCACAGGCCCAAGCCTTTACTCATTTGGCATTGTTCTCTGCCCTCCAAGCTTTTTCATGACTGAATGAGGTGTGTGGGCAGCCTAGACAAGCAGTAAGAAAGGTTGAAATTAATATTTGCTAAAAGGAAAACGGCTAGACCACATATAGATCAACCAAATCCACCCGGTAAGGCCAACTGAAATAGATGAGATGTCTTTTCAGATACAAAGGCTTAGTCACAGGCACACTGACCCATGCAGACCTCGTAAGCAAGATGCGAAGGAACGTACTGGCGACTCAGTGCCTCCCTGCAGTCTCAGCTCTGATAGCACGGACTGATGCTGCTCTGACTGAAGCGCAGGTGATTGCATCAGAACAGGACACCTAAGTCCTGGTGAAGTTGAAGTTCCCCCCAAAATTCAGTCTGGCATAGATAGAGCAGTTCATCGGGCTGAGGACCTGAAATGGTAGAATCCTGTTTTAGTCCTTAAATCCAGAGTTTTCAGAGAACACAATTTGTTAAGCAACGTGTTCTTTCTAAATTCTTCTTCAGGTTTTTCATATGAGAAGGATCCCCGGTTGTACTTCGACGACACCTGTGTTGTTCCTGAGAGACTGGAAGGTAAGTAGCCACATCCAGTTTGTTGGGAAGCTGGAAGGTTCAAGATGTCAGAGTACGTTCATCGGTCTTGATGCCAAATTAGTGTTTGCCCACGTCAGCTGAGAAACCTGAGACTAAAGTACAACATATGTGTCTTTGTCTCAAACAGGCAAAGTCAAACAAGAGCCCACCATGTATCGGGAGGGGCCCCCTTACCAGAGGCGAGGTTCCCTTCAGCTGTGGCAGTTCCTGGTTACCCTTCTTGACGACCCAGCTAATGCCCACTTCATTGCCTGGACAGGCCGAGGCATGGAGTTCAAGCTGATAGAACCGGAGGAGGTAAGCGCTGGAAGCTGGGATCAGGTGATTTGATTTGTTGATGTTTGTTCCTGTTCTCCATTGAGCCTTTTTACGGTGTTAAATATGCTCTTCCTTCTCATTCAGATTCTAGCCTGGCCAATGGGCTTGGCAGTGCCTTTTCTATTAATAGGACAACTTACAATTCACAGACAGGCAGAGTTCTCCACTGCAGAATATATAAAATGTATTAGTAACACTTCTGCAAACTCTGGGGAGGGAGGCCATGAAGACTTACATTCTAATAGGGTCTGCTCTCTCTGTTGGAAAGTCTTTTTCAAGTGTTTCTTTCAGTGATACCAACTTGTTTTGGTGTCAACCCTCATATGTCATAGCCTATACCAGAGGTTACATGAACAGATTGTAAGACATTTTGGTAGTATATTATAGGTTGCAACTACCCCACTGTGTATTTCAAATGGCTCTAACCTAGAGAAATAAAACTATCAGAGATGGGTCAATATTAGGAAGTTAGATTTTTTTTTAAATGTAGTATCACAGTGGTTGAGAGAGGACACAAACCTTCATTATTTTGTTAATAGAAAGAAGAAACATTGTTACTGTTTGCCCAGACTCTTGACAGAAAAGCCAATGGACAGAACCAATACCATTTCTTCAAAAGGGGAGGACATCATAGAACTCCTCCTTTCCTGACCATTGCAAAGTAAATTAAATCAGGCTCTGAGTTTGGCATATTTCAAAAGGGGTTGTTTTATGTTTGTTTGTTTTGGTTTTATGGCCACGCCACACGGCTTATGGGATCGTAGTTCCCTTAGCAGGGAGAGCTCGGAATCCTAACCCCTGGACCGCCAGGGAATTCCCAAAGGGGTTGATTTGATTTCTGTTTGATTTAGAATCTAGAGAGATTATAAATAGAAAAGAAGTAACTTCCCTGAAAATCCGACATATGCTTCTTTTGGTAGCATATACTTAGGTGTTACATATTAAACCAGCAGAGCAAAATGTATCTTTGGGTTGGGTGTGATGGGAGTGGGACCAATGCTCTCAGAAGGAGTTTGAACAGGGACTGCAGTTGTAGATGTTGTTCCATCAATTCCAGGGCTCACTTTAGCACACCAGTGGGACAGGTGGGTATGGGGGTTAACAGCAGGAGATTTGGAAGAAGAAAGTAGCCTGAAAGTTAAGATGAGCGAAGGAGAATGTGTGGATTGGAGACTTAAGGAGAATCCTGACTGATAGGAGAGGAAGGCAGGCTTCATTAAAGGCAGTTAGAGAAGATATATGTATGGTGTTCTCGATCTTGCATCATTCACAAAAAAATAGAAATATGTCAGCACCTCGTATTGTAAATGGTTTCTGTTAAGAGTCAGTCTACCTTCAAAGCCAGAGTTTGGTACTGCTGTGTTTTTCTAAGGGTGTCTTTTTTGGCTAAGTCGTGTTTAGAAGTGGAGCTGTGTTTGTGGCTTCCAGCCACACTGGAGAGCATCCGCCCTGCATTCTTTTCCTCATAACGTGGCCTGATTTATGTGAGGCTTGAGGAAAGCATGTCGCCCAGACTCACTAAGGCTTTTTGAAAGTCAGTCTGTCATGTGGGCAGCCCTTATTGATTTATCTCATTTCAAACAGGAGCTTTTATTACTTTATCGCCACTGCCTCTGGCCTAAGCACAGGCTGTATAGCTGCAGGTAAACCTGGTTATGACCGTTTGTAAAGCTGTTATTGAATCTGCTGCTCTCCTACCAGTGGTAAAGAAAATGATGAACAGATGGCAAAGGGCCCCGGCTTTCTTAATAACGAAGCTTATACTAAGCCAGAATGCTCACATAAATGCCAAGCAGCCAAGTCACAGGGGAGGCCTCTGGTGGCCTTGAGCCTCCCTCAGCTGGTTGGACAGCTTTGTTTCTTCAGGAAGTAATTCTTTCCGCCGCACCTTGAAATCCCCGAGCATTCCATGAACTCCGAATATTCCATTCTCTTAACCCAGGATCAGCTCTGTTCCACATGTGCACTTTAGCCTCGGGACATGCAGCATTTGAATATTTTCGCTCTCTAATCCTTGTATAACTTGGAGGGCCCTACTCTTGTTACTGTCAGGAAGATACCAACTCCTCAAAAAAGCTGTAAGAAGTTGTCATGGGGGAAGCTTGAAGGGTGAAGCGGAGGAGGAAGCTGTTTGGACCGTAATTGTAGGCAGCTGTGTGGCTGAGTAGTGCACTCTGGGTAATTATCCATAATATCCATTACACTGTGCATGGAAATTGTGGTTTTGGAACTGCTTTTGGCAGGCCTCCTAATCAAATGTCTTTTGATTGTCATCCAGCTTAGCACCCTCTCAATTATGACTGACTCGGCTTTAATCTGGAGCCATTTTAACTGTGAATCTGCATTAATGAATATTTTGGGGGGTAGGGTTGTTTGTTGAACATGTGGCAGATAACTGATGCCGTGGGGAGGTTTAAAAGGACGGGCTGCTAGAAAGAGCCGCTCCCTGTGCTGCGGCTGCTCTCTCTTAAAAAGGGAGGAAGAGACGTGAGGTTTTCTTGTTTGTTTTTAAAACTCCTTCGGCCTCCATCCTCAAGATGCATGCTATCAAAGTAACGAATGTGAAAGCTGAAAGAAAGGAGGAGCTGGTAGCAAGCTATTGCCTGCTCCCCTCCCCCCAGAAATGGGACAGCCCTAATTCCCAGCTGCTCTGCAGTTGTGCTGCATCATGATTACTGCAGAAGGAGCAGCCCTGGTGAGGGCTACTGAATCAGAGGGCCCTGGCCCAAGAGGATGAGTCAGTAACTATGGCTACCAGAGCTTCTTTGAAGTCTGTGCATATATAAAACCTCTCTCCAGCAAGCTACTGCATATGCACGTGACAGCAAAGAGAGGTCACGGCTGAAGTTGAAAAATATTCACGAATTGTTTTCCACCACTGACTATAGTAAAATGATGAGGCTGGGCTTCTTTTAAGGGTTCCTGCATCGCTTGTGTCTGACAGCAGTTCAAGTACAGTTTCATGGTGTCATTTCTTCTGAACAGGTAAAAGGACACGTATTGATTTAACAGGTTCTTTCTTACCCCTATTTCTATTGGTTTAAAAATAGAAATTGGTTACAAATAGAAGTTGGTTAAAAATTGAAATTGGTTAAAAAGTGGTTAAAAATAGAAATTGATTAAAAATTGGTTTTATCTTCTCGGGATTTCCCTGGCGGTCCAGTAGTTAAGACTCCACGCTTCCACTGCAGGGGACACCATTTGATCCCTGGTCGGGGAACTAAGATCCTGCATGCTGCTTGGTGCAGCCAAAAATAATAATAGTAAAATAAAATGTTTGTCTCCTTTAACCAGGGAATGTATTTTTGGCTCATTTTGTCTTTGGGGCCATTTCAAAGAGTTGAACGGGTGCAATGTGGAGAAAGGGAGAGAGCCAGGGATAATTGTGTGTGCCGTGGGGCACAAAGCAAACGAATGGAAATTTAACTTTCACACAGTGTCTTGCAAGGCAGAGTGGAAACGTGGCTATTGAATTATTGTAATATAATTAGGACAGATGCATTCTTCCTTACTTACCAGGTTATTTTTGGTATTTATTAAAGGTCATCTTAGAATCCTGAATTCAGAAGATGTTGTTTTCATTCTGCCCCAAATACTTTTAAAGAATACTTCAAGTGAAATGTGGTTTTATGATCCACCTTTTCCACTTGCAATCTCCCTACTTCTCATTCCATGTTTGTCATCTTTTTTTTTTTAATAAAAAGGAATGTAGTTATTTTGGTTTTTTAAGTTTCTAAAACTGACCCAAAATGTTCAAAACATGATCCCTGGTTTGCATACATTTAAAGACTTCATATTTCCAAGGTTATTCTTCTCTTACCTCGACAGTCATCCTTATAAGTAGGATTTGGGATGTTGAGATACTTGAGAACAGAAATTGCTTGGCTGTGCTGCTGAACTCCACTAGGAAGCTTTCTTGCTATAAGGTCTCTTTGCCCAAACCTCCAATTACAACCCCCCATCACTGCACCTCAGAGGTGGACCAAGTTGGGTATAATGCACTTCAGAACTGTTTGGGAAGCCCTGTTAATTTTTCATTAAGTGGATAATGGTGCTACATGTTTTAATGTCCATTCTGCAAGTCTGCTGGGAGCAGCGGATTGGATGGCAGAAGGCTGAAATGATCCGATTCCCCTTTACTCCATGAGCTGCTATAAGTAAACATCTACCAGCCCTTCTCCAATCTTATTAGAATTGAACTTTTGCTCTGCTGGCCCATTAGCAACTCACCAGTGTGTTTCTAATGTTTCAGGAATGACCATTCTAATTATTCCTTATTGACTGCTACAGAAACCATAGCACTTAATGGCAACATGCTAATGGTCTATGGGTATTGGTCAATAATTCATATGTGGAGAAACAGTAGAGAGCCTGCTTCCTCTGGGATGCTAGCCGAGCCCTCTGCAATCTTAAAGTGCTAGGATTTTTCCACCTCTAGGTCTCACCTCTTAGCGTTTGACTGAATCATCACCTTTGCTGAATGTTTGGTCTTGAGGGAATTCAGTGCTTTTCCTTCCAGGTCAGAGAAATGGGTCACTGACCAAAGCAGTCAGGTTCTAGAACTGGCTCTCCTGGGATTGGGAGAAAACCACTAAGCCCAGGGAATGAGTTTCCATTGCTTTCCTGTCTCTTCAGGTCGCTCGGCGTTGGGGCATTCAGAAGAACCGGCCAGCCATGAACTACGACAAGCTCAGCCGATCTCTACGCTATTACTATGAAAAGGGCATCATGCAGAAGGTGAGCGATTACTAGAGACGCTTAGACCACTCTGACCACTCTCAAAGAAAGTGTCAAGGGCTTCCGAAATAAAACTGTATGTGATGACTGGGAGGAAATGTTAGTCTCATAAGTAATTCTGTGATAGGAAAAACGTCCTGGAAAAACTTCGGTTAAATGAGATAATAAGGAGCACCTTTAATGCTGTTGGGTACGTGAAAGTCAAAGGCTGTGTATGGAAGACACTGTAGGAAAATTAGGCTCCTCTGCTTTAAACTGTCTCTACTTACAAAAACATCCAGACATTTAGGCCAACTGTTATATCCATAAAGGAGCAAGTGAGGGAATCGACTTGAAGGTCTCCGCTCCCATGAGAGCTTAGGCGAAGTCTTTAGTTGAAACACTGAGACCTCCGAATATGTTGGTTTAATACTCCCAAAAGTGTTAGGGCAGTAAAAAAAAAAATCTTATTTCTCTTTTAGAACCTTAGAAACTGGAACTCAAGTTAAAAACCCAAGGTTTGCAAAATGGCAGAATCACCTGGTAGCAGGTAGCAGAAAAAAAGGATGAAGTGTAATTTTGAGGAAGCCAATACAAAATCCTTATTGCGATAGGTGGTGAAGATCCACAATCTTAAAATCCTGTGGATAGGCAGAAGATGAGAATGGAAAATCTTTGATTGGTTTTTCTTAGCCATCAGATGTTATACTGTACTGTTGCCCAGATTCTAGCATTTACACATTTAAGCAGTCTACATGATAGATGCCAAGATGCACTCAGAAGTATATGGTCATTGCTGCTGAGAACTTGTCTACGCTGAAGCCAGGTTTATCTTTCTCAGAGGCAGGTGGTACTATGACCCCATATTCCTCTCATCTCCTTAAAAAATATTAAAACAGCTTTTCATGGATGGTCTTCTGGATAAGATCCAGACTTTTTAATGCTTCATACAGGCTCAAGGCACCATTAAACCCTCATTTCCTCACTTGTACTTGGCTGCTTTCACTAGCATAGCCATCTTTCTCTTAATATATTTGTTTACCGAACAATACATATCACATTCATGTAAGTTATCAAGCGTACTATAAAATGAAAAAATACCTATTAAACTATCGTCCTACTTAAGAACACTCCTAACGCCTTCATTGCCTGGCCAGCCCCTACTTGTTTTCTCAGTAAATCACCTCTTTACTCCAAGAATCTGAAGTTCTCAGGCTGAGTTACATGGTCCCTCTTCTGCTTCTGAGAGCACCTGGGCTCATCTCCATCACTTCCCCTACTGTCGGTATTGTAAGTTACTGGCTTGTCAGTATCTGCCACAGGAGTATCAGCTCCTTTGGGGCAGAAATGAGGGTTTGACTTCAGTGCTTGTCACAGAGTGAATAGATACTCTAGGATGGATGGTCACCCTACCCAACTTGCCCCCTTTTTTAAAGGGTTAAATTCAGTGGGGTTTTAATATGTGCACAGAGTAGTGCAGCCGTCACCACAATCAATTTTAGAACATTTTATCACCTTAAAAAGAAACCCTGAACCCATTATCAGTCACTGCCTTTTCCCCCTCATACTTCACACACACTCTCTCCCCTTTTAGTTTTAACATTATCAGGTAGAATCCTAAACTCAGGAAGGAGGGCCATTACTCCTTTGCTGTTCCCAACTCCAGATCCAGTCTGAGGGAATGTAATCAAGACACAGTTAACTTGAACTAATGGCAACGAGGTGTCCCTAGGAACTTGTTCCTAGGTTTTCTAAGGAAGTGGGAGAGAATTTTCTGAGAATAAAACAGGCAAAAAGTACAGGAAGGCACAGGAATGAGAGTTGGGGGGCTCAGATCCAGCACTGCATTTATGCTTTAAGGAAAGTCAACCTTCCAAAGCCTGTTTCCAGTAAAAATGTAGATAATAGTCCCTAATCTAATCTCAAAGGGTAATAATAATATATGTGAAAACATTCTAGAAATAGTAATGTGCTATCCAGTGTAAGAGATCATTGTTGTATTTATTACATGACCCATGAGTAAATGAGAACTAAATAAAAGAGAAGTGGTAGCATGCCCATCTGGGGAGGGACTTAGAAAAGCAGTAGTCCCATACCCTCGGTGTTTGAAAGGGAAGATTGAGGTTGAGAGGTTGAGACCTGTTAGCGACTGAGCTAAGGCTGGGAGCCATCCACTCCTGGCTTATGAGCTGGTATCATTGCCACTATGTCCTCCTACTTCCCTCTTCCACATACGTGAGCTGACTCTTGGGCCGGGGAAGGACAGATTTAACAACCCAAATAGAGATGATTGATTGTATACATCTGCCACCCTTAATCAAGACCATTTGGTTCTTGTAATATTATAATGCATAAAATTCATATAAAGGTAGTCATCAGTTCCTTCAGTGTAGCAGAACCATGGAATGAGTAATGTAAAACTGCAGGTAAGCCAAAACACAGTTCTGTTTGGTTTTGGAACAAACTTAAAATTCCCACACAGCTCTCTGAATTCCTAGCCCTTCAGAGCAAAGCTGTCCTGGGAAGACTGTAAACTTTGGAGGGAACTGAACACATGGTCTGACTCCTGCATCTTTCAATCCTTATATCTTCTTGTAATATCAGGCACCAACCTCAGCATAACCATTGTTTCTAGGCTGTGAGTATAACACAGTGAGGATTTTCTTTTAAAAGAACCTAATATGAGTTTGAAATTCAGATATTCTTTTCAACTGCTAAGCTGTGGTGTCAACAAAACACTTGGCAGGTAACAGGTTCCCACAGTTTATCAAAATAAATCTGAATGATTTGGATAATCAGCTACCAATGAGCCTCTTGGTCCCTGGCTCCCTGAGAGCTTGGTGACTTACAAATATCTCATTCTTCCCTTGGTGCCCTGGCCCCAGCCCACGCCCTGTTCCAGCTGGGCCTCATAAGGTATGTTTTCTCTCTTCAGGTGGCTGGGGAACGATATGTCTACAAGTTTGTCTGCGACCCCGATGCCCTTTTCTCCATGGCCTTCCCCGACAACCAACGTCCGTTCCTGAAAGCGGAGTCTGAATGCCACCTCAGCGAGGAGGACACCGTGCCACTGACCCACTTTGAAGACAACCCTGCTTACCTCCTGGATGTGGACCGCTGCAGCAGCCTCCCCTATGCCGAAGGCTTTGCTTACTAAGTTTCCGAGCGGCTGAGCGGCCAAACCCCAGAGCTAGCAGTTCCCATTCAGGCAAACGAGGGCAGTGGTTTTGTTTGTGTTTCTGGCTGTTCCCAAAGCTTGCCCTTTGAGTATTATCTGGAGAACCCAAGCTGTCTCTGGATCGGCACCCTTAAAGACAGATACCTTGGCGGGGGAGTGGGAACAGGGAGGGGCAGAAAACCACCAAAAGGCTGGTGCCTCAGCTCTGAACCTGACAAGGTTTCTGGGAAAGCAATTGAAATGGAGTCTCCTTCCCATGGACAATATATGCAAAGCAATACCTTGTTCAGGTTAGTACCCACAAACCAGGACAGAGTGTGTGACAATCTGCATTGATCATGGACTACTAAATGCCTTTACGAAGAAGGGCTCTGATTTGCACAATTTATTGAAAAAGATGTCACAAACCCATAGAAGAGGAGGTAGGCAAAGTTGGGGAGGCTCAAACCATGAAGGGTTACAAATATATCTTAAAACTCAGAGAGCTCTTCCAGCTTAATCTGAAATGTTTCCTCTTGGTCTGGAAAGAAGGGGAAAAAGGACAAACAGCTGTTACCCACTCCATGGTTCTCAAATAATAAACCATTGCTACCCTTGGGAACCTTCTGGCCGTGTGGTCACCAAGTAGAGCAAGCCCCCTTTCTCTTCCCAGTCACATGGCTGTGTGTGTGGATGGCTTTAATTTTAGGAGAAGGGTGATTAACACTTTTGACAGTATTTTGTTTTGCTTTGATTCGGGGGATTGTTTTGTTTTGGTGGTTGTTTTGGAAAAACAGTTTATAAACTGATTTTTGTAGTTTTGGTATTTAAAGCAAAAAAAACAAACCTTTTGGTAACTGTGCACTGCGCCCTTTAAACAGGACAGTGCCAACTTATGAAGACGCTGCAGCTTGAAAGGGGCTTTGCTGGGGGTGTCCCCTTAGCCGAGTACAAGCCCTCTTTTATTGCCTGCTTTGTGCTTTCTGCACCAGACAGCCTGATGGAACATTTGCACCTGAGTTGTAAATTTTTGAGGTGTGCAGGGCAGCCTGGACACACCGTTTAGATTCTATGTGTATAGTCCCCCATGTTCCCTCACATGCCCTCTCTGGAAAGCATATGTACATAATACATGTCATGTCCATTTGAAACCTGGTCACCTGGTCAAAACCCTAGGTAGGGATTCTTCCCTGGGCATGACTGATGACAATTTCCATTTTAGTTTGTTTTGTTTTCCTTTTTCTTTAATTTTTGGACTTTAAACCCTGCATATGATTCAGTAGGGTTTGAGACTTATGTGCGACACTGACAGGTAAAGCAGTACTAGCATCTTAGTTTCCTGCCACTTTAAAAAAGATTTTCTCTGATTGTGTATTATATTGGGAAAGTTTTAAATAACTCAGCTAAAGCTATATGAAAGTTAAGCTCAAAGTAGTGGAAAAAGAATTAGAAAGTGGTAGCACCTTGCTGCCTGCTGATAGGATTCTGTGCTTCCCGACACCTAGCACACAACGAATGATTATGCTACTCTTCATATGCGAAGGACAGTGCTTTGAGTTGTTTTTCTATTGATGGAACCGCT